TTTTTCCCCCCCCCCCCCCCCCACTTTGGTGTGAATAGCTGACCTCTCGCAGGCCGATAAATTCACCTAGGCCCTTGGTCGCTTACTGCATGTGGTTGGGAACGAAAAATAAACATTTTTCACCTCTCCAATTAAAAAAAGAAGGCTCACTACCGATGCTACTGAGCGGGTTATGGGTCCAGCCGGAGGCCAGACCATTCATTGTTTACACACTTGGGATGGCAGGCCTCTCTGTCTGCACACAATCAATTATGGTTCAAGGAACAGAACAGCGTGTATGAACGTCCAGACACGAGCACGAGACCATTAAAATTTATACTCTTGCATGACGGTTGAAGGGTTGTAAATTATTCAGACCAAATGGGCGAGGGCGTAAATCGTGTTAACTAGTTTATAAATTTTATCAAGCAATCCAAGCTCTTTTCTTCACTTTCATTTTTTTTTGGCTTTTATTCTTTCATTTTCTTTTTTTTTTCCCTTGCCTTTTCTGTCCCCTTCTTCTTGAGCATTTGGAGTTTGAACCAAAAAAGAGCCAGAGAGCCAAATGAAATTCTCCGGGCCAGACGAGATAAAAAAAGCCAAATTCCTGGGATTTGGTTCCAAATTCACAACCCTGACTGTGACTAGATATCTATGTATTCGGACACCAACACGATCCTGTGGGGCATCAGCCCCAGTAACCTCAGCCCTGATCCTTCTTGGGTCATTTCCGGTAAAACAAGGGTGAGGGGGTGAGAATAGCAAGACATAGATTCTCACCCAGGGTGAGAATAACCACTTCCTATACATGATATATCTCTACGACACATTCTTTTCTTTACATAATTTCATAATGCTAGCTCATATTCTCAAATGACTTTACAGCTTAAGACATTAAATTTATCTTTCAACAACAGAGTAAATTTATGACACAAAGAAGAAAAACGACAGGGTACTTACGAAACTGTTGCGATTTTTGTCCTTATCCTTATCCTTTTTATCCACACCAGGATTCCGAAGACTACTCATGGTGATTTTTTTTCACTTTCACCATGCATAAAGCAAAGCAAATTCACACTTTCGGCCGCATAAATCCAAAAGAAAAGTTCTGCTTACAACTCCGCACAAGATTGAATTCACAAAATCAATAAAACCTGCACAAATTATGAAAAAACAGCTTCAGAAGTAGTAGTAGAACACATTAAAAAATGTTTAACGAAATAAAAACTTTCCAAGAAGCTCAGACTGATTTACAGTGATTTTCCGTTTCCCATTATACATACAGGAGTGTGTAAAAAGCTTCAATCTCTATAATCAAAATGAAGCCTAAAACATGCACATGTGACAAAATAAACACCATCAACTTGTAAAAAGAGTTACTTTTCACAACATACTATCATCTTGACTTTTTGTTTTGGTCTCTGAGAAATGAATTACCTTTGATTCAGACTCTCAGTTCTATTTTTGAATTATTACCTGGTCTGTACAATGAAGTCTGACACTTGTAGAAATGTAACTGACAAAATATAGAGGCTTTCCCAAAAAAACTACACTCTACATGAAAATGGACTTATCATATATGCCACTAAGTTAATAATTGACAATTCAGTGTCCATTGACTGTCAATAGAAATAACCAAAATTGTTACGAATTAATCGTCAACAAGCCTTCACAACAGCAACCTATGACGAAGTAAAGAGTTTTTCTAAGGAAGGAGCAACTTAAATGGCAAGCAATTTGTTACCACTCCTAAAAAAATCATGTAGACCACACTTATAATCTGTCTCGCTAATTAAACGAATATGATGACCATATTATTATAAAAGCCGGCTCTATTTCTCCGAACGCTCAAGAAAATAAACTTGAACTCAATTTCTCCTAACAGTTTCTGCTCTCGAGATTTTTTGGTATTTGCGAATGGAGTGGCCCGCGTGTGTGTGTATGTGTGCCGTGTGAGTGTACGTGTGTGTGCCTGTGTGTGTGTGTAAGGTGTGAAAGGGGGGGGTGAAGGGATTTATTTTGTGATTTAGTTTTTGTTTTAGGGACACTAAAAATATCAAAAAAGGTTACTGCCGAAGTCGAGCAGTCTTGTTTTCTCGAAGCACCTTTATAAGGCATTTTCAAATGAAGTAGGAAGAGACTAGCCGTACTATAATGATGGCTAGACTGACAAAACAAAACAAAAAAATAGGCCTACTGAATTGTAAAAATAAATTTTTAGTTTGCAGTACCAAAAGTATTAGTATTTGAGACGAAACCAGGTGCCTTACTAACAGTGCTTGTGTTTTAAACCTGAATAATTACTAATGAGACCTGTTTTCTAATGTTAATAGTGCCTAAGATAAGTAGGGCTAGATAGCTAGGCTAGCCGTACTTAAGGACGGCTAGACTGTCGGGCTAGCCGTACTTAATAATGATGGCTTAACAAATTGTAAATGAAATTTTTAGTTTGCAATGCATAAAGTATTTGTATTTCAGACAAAACAAAAAAGTACCTCACTGACCTGAATGTAATTTTAAACCTGAATAATTTACTAGATCTAGATCAAATGAGACCTGAGTACTCAACAGGTTTGAGTCAATAGGGCCAAACCTAGATCTAAGTGCAGCTAGACTTAAACTATAATTGAAGTATCTGAATATATTCCGACAACTAAAAATTTCTAGCTCTAGAAATCAAATTCAATACAAAAAAATGCTTTTTCCAGTCCTCCCAGAACAGCAGAATGAAAGATGACGCTGAACTCTCGCAAATAACCAACAAAACTCGAGAACGGAAACCATTCGGAGAAATAAAGTTCAAGTTTATTATCCCGAGCGTTCGGAGAAATAGTCACTTTGAATTAAAAATGCCATATTATCTTTACAAAGTATGAAATCCTTACGTCTTAAGCTTTGATCATCTAAATCGAATCTAACTGAGAATCTTGAGTTAACCGTTAACCTGACATAGATAGGCCTAATGGCTATAATAATGTTTTGACCCTTTGTAACAGGAACACTTATAAACTTTTGCCGTATATTAAGTTTTATTTCATTATATTTGACCTGACAAGCGAGTCTAAAACTTTAAGTAAAAGTTTTGGAAACCAATATAGATCTAGCGATCTATTGACAAATTGCAAGGCAAGAAATAGAATAATAAGGGTAAATTTTTACTTTTATGCACCCACACATCAGCATAGATTTGAGAGCTAAACTGCCATAATTTTTGCAGTAGAACACACGCCACTAAAACCCTTGCAAATCAATCGTTTTCAAGTAAATAAAATATCAATCCTAATTGCCAAAACATCTAATTATTGTGAAATGCAGGGATGCATTCCCCCCTGAAACCCCCCATTCTTTTTAGGTCAGGGCGGCATGTCCCCCTGAAACCCCCCATTTTATTTTATTGTTAAATTTACTATTTTCAAACATCAATAACTCAATAATTATTGATTTGCGGCAAAAATGAAGACCATATATATGATCTATGTGTGTGTATAGCATGCAAAATACTACTAGAAAAGAAGTATAGATCTATATATACAACGTGAACATGAGACGGGTACATAAGTTTTTAGAAAACAAACGATATTAGAAAGTGAATTGACCTTTTCTCACACTTCTGTGACAATCTTATCTCATCTGGAAACTATCCCCTCTAGATTCTAGGCCCTATAATAGCCTATAATAATTCGGATACTTTTGTCATCCGTCACAACAAATGACTTATGTCACAGATGTGAGACTGATGAGTAAGTTTGTCAGCTAGATCTATATATCTAGATCTAGAATCTAGATCTCTAGATCAAGAATCTAGTCATATTGTCCTTTAAAAGTTTCTTAAAGAGCCAAGTAAGGCCAAGTCTGGACGTAGGCACAACATCGACATGACTTTACTTTACTACTTTACTAAGTTTCTTCATTTAGTGGGATTGTTTCTCCGTACGACCCGAATTGCGACTATAAGGTCTTTACTATCGTCTAACCTAGATTCTAGAAGATCTAAATCTAAATCTAGATTCTAGACTAGATTTAGTAAGCTGCATGATCTTCAACAATGACCGATGTCGAATTGTGACCGCGCCGACTCCCCCCGCTCGAATCTCAAACAAGCCAAACACCCTTGTGACTTGCGACTGTCTTGATCTCTATGAGTCGCCGTCTTGAAAGCAAGGCAACGGTGGCAGTATAATCCCCAGCAAGAACAATGTGAACTTTTAACACAATCATACAAAACCAGAAGTTGCGAATAAAAGAGAGTAACGAGAAGGATATCCACGACTAAGCTCTAAGGCTCGACTCCTACCAGGCTTTTCTCCACTTCCTCACTTTAGTCATCAACATCCGCCATCATATTGTGGTAGCAGTAGCAGTCAGAGGTCAGGTCAGAATTCAGCCAATTATATGAGCTGTAACAAACGCTACTGGATGTTGTTGTATTGCCAATTTTGCCCTCATTTAAATTGAGTCTTATTAGGCTGGATAAGAACGAATCAAAGAGGTTACAGTAAGGTCCTTGGGACGAATGCAAAGATAACGAAAAAATGAGATTTAATACTATGATGGTTCCATGCTTTTCACCAAGAATGAAAATCTATGGAGAAATTACACTGTATTCGAGCATGAAGTTCTTGGCAGGAAGAAGAGAGCTTGATCTGCTCAGAGAAATATGCTAGCCTACAGACAACAGTGCTGGTTACTTGAACTTGAAACCTAAACTGTAGCCTAATTGTGTGGAGAAAAGTGGAAAAGCTACTTTAAGTCAAAGTATGGAGTGTAAAGTGTAGTCGCCTACTTCATCACTGTCGGGTTGATGGCCTTGGCTAGGCCTACAAATTTTGCAACTTACGTTAGGCATTCAATGCACAATACTCCTGGCTAGCACTTTCTCGTAAACAATATGGCGGCCGCCGAGTTGGACCGACGGGGATGGTATGTGACACGTTTTTCATCAAAATGTATCATGCGCATAGATGTCTTTTGCTTGTAAAAATTTTGTTGAAGCTAATGTTATTTGCATCAATCCATGTACCTTTTACGTTGATTCTTCAATATTACATCCTGTAGTTAAGCTTACGAATACGCTAGTTACCGATAGTGCGATAGCTGAGCTAAGGCTTAGCAGTCAGTTCTTTTTTTCAGTTGAGTGAGTGCTTCCTAGAAATCTACAGTCAACGCGCCACTACCAGCCTACCGGTTACCTAATGACTAATTCTGATGAAGAACTGTGAAGAAAACACTGTGCGCTCATCGAGACCTTTAGTATAATCTGGATTGGTGGTGAAGGGGGAGAATATTATCCTGGAGATGTTGACTCATTCATTGGGAGGACAACATATTTAGGATTTTAGGCTGGCGTTATTGGAAACACTGCATTCTGAATAGATTCTAGCTCCCATCCATGCTAATCAAAACGCCTCGTTCTGATTAGCCCCGTGCCGTGCTAGCTATTTGAGATGCCAGTAGGGCCTACTGTTTTACTACTCTAGATCTAGATCTAGTCTTTGCCTTTGTTTCTAATAACCTACTTTTCATTGCTCCACTATGATTTGGGGGGGGGGGGGGGGTATGCTTTCTGAAAGTAAGATTTTACTCGGAAGGTAGGAAAATAAGAGGTTGGGGGTGGGGGTAAGAGTGTCCCAGGAAATCCCCAGGAAAATCAGTCGATTTACTAGTACCGATCCTGGCATTTGTTCGTTATTGTGCATATAGGCCTAGAGTCTACACCAAAAATAGATCGAACGACTACATGTATTTTATCCAGTGTTGAGGAATCGTGTCCTCGAGAAGCGGTCGTTGTTACATGCATAACACACCGATAACAAACGACAAACGGGGGGGAACAAGGAAAGAAGAATAGAATACATCACTATATATAATAGCTATCAGAAGATTCATAACATTCAAACTGCTCAAGATAAACTTCAATGCATTCTTTGTAAACAAGAGATCGGGACACACTGATGTTGTTCTTTACATAATTTATGATTTGAAAGTGAATGTAATCAGGAACAAAATATGTTTAAATGACCATGCAAAGAGCTTCTCACTCTCAGAGTAGGTCTAGATATATCTATTCAAAGTCTTTCAATCTGCTTCTAAGATACTCAATATTTGATCGATTTAGGTCTTCATACAGAACCTATACACACACAACATTGAAAGTCTCCATCATGTGAATACCTAACACATAACTGCGGTGATACCACCTATCACATTTCTCACACACTACCCATTGAGTTTCACCAGCAGAGATACTTTTTTCCCGGGTCTCTTTTCTTGCACTGATTGCAAACATCTTACTCGTTAACATTTTCTGTACATGTTTTCTTATGTTGAGAATAGCGCAGTTTTAGTTGGTGAGAGGACAAATCTTCTGGCTATTCTCACCCGTTGTGTATTTACCGCTAAGTGCATCGGCCCAGGCCGATCACTCCGGTTGAGAGGGCAAGCCTTTTGGCTATTCTCACCCGATGTGCGTTCACCGTGATACCAGTGTAAACAAGCATTCTCTTGTGTTAAAAGCGTGGAATTTTGTCTGTGGGCAATGAACGGGTCTTTGCTGGGGATACCTGGTTTTGTTAGAGAGACGCGAGGCGGAGATAAGGGGGGGGGGGGGGAGAAAGATGGGAGAGAGAGGAGTAGATTCTAGCACGAACTTCCACGCCAAACAAAATGCCGACCGTCATATTTTGGCTCGATTTGAAAAGTGAAATAGCTATAGCATCTTTGTAGACAACAAAATTAGTTTACTTTTGTGCTATAACATCATTTCTTTCTTCTTTTTTGTAAATTTGATCACCCACACCGATAGACAGTATTCTGAAATAAAGAAAAACAGGTCTTGTTTCACACCAGGTGAGAATAGCAAAGACGGCAAGTCTCACCCGGGGTGAGAGGTCGATTGTATTTTTATTCTCACCCGGGGTGAGAATAGGCACTTCCTAAATCTAAATCTAAGGATCTAATCTAGATTTAAGCTAGATCTAAATATTAAGTTGAATTTTTTTTTTATTTGTCTTTCAAGTTTGTTTGCACCCTTTCACTCTTGAGCTTTAGTTGTAATTTTATCCTGCTCCTCTTCTAACCTAAGTCATCTTTCAGCCCCCTGCATTTAAGTTTTAATGTAAATATTTTATAATATAATAATGCTTATTTAGATACAGTAGCCTCCGCCTAAGATCCCACCGCTTACGATCCCGGTCCACTTAAGATCCCGCTGTTTTAAGAAAACAGAACTTTTACTATACAAAAGTCACCCCTAAGATCCCGCTCTGATTCACTCTGAAGGTCTACATTCGGCTAAGATCCCGCATTTCAGATCATAATTTGCGGAACAAAAACCCGGGCAGGCACAGCCAATCAAGGAAGAGGGAAAAGTTGAGATCAATAAACTGTCCGTCGCGTCAAAGATCTGCCACTATCGGGAATGTGATCACATACACGTGTAAGTAAAACTGGATGAAGCGATATCAATGTTTGCCCCCGACGGGATCACACCGGGGTGTGAACTGACCGACGCGTTTGTTTTCCCCACGCATCGCACTCACACCTGAGCTCTCCCCCTATACTTACATCACTTGCTGTGTGGGTAGGGCCTACACGTTCTTTCCAGGTGGGATCACATCGAACCGTGAACTCTTCCCTGACCGTTGCAGTAGGCGTTGATTGCAGCAGTTGTCTCTACGCCCGAATTTGCTAGACTGACTGAATTTTAATTGGTGTGTTCACGACGTAATGGTGTGTAACGACAAAGGCGTTTGGGGAGGCGGGGGGAGACTCGGTCAGAGATGGAAAGCTGTGAATTTTCGACAGGTAAAGGGGAGGGGCAATAGATCTTGTGACTCAGGATAATAAGTGAAAATGGCACGCCTCATGGCACTATGCACTGTGATAGGCCATCAAGGTTAACCACTCTTTGCTCGCCATATGTCATAAACCCACCAAGGGTTCACGTAAGTTCATTTTAAGGTGGAGGGAGACCATTTTACTGATTGTAAGCCTTAACATGGGTCCCCATAGATTCTTCCCTGGGATCGTCGGTTAAGATCCCGGTTCGCCTAAGGTCCCGCATTTCTTTGCTCCCGAGTACCGGGATCTTAGGCGGAGACTACTGTATTACCTGTTCCTTTTTATCAACGTGGTTGCTGTGAAGTAAGTGTTTTGGGAGAAATGAAGGGTGAGGTTTGTGAGGACATAGAAAAGTGTGTTCTGGTAACTGGGTTTGGGAATGCACTGGTTATTGTACTTGTGTATAGAGTTTTTATGTGTATTCGATAATTTGGTTGGTGGTCTTTTTTTCAGTTGCTTTACCATACTTTTGGGGGGGGGGGGTTGTCAGTAGCTGTGCCAGGCTGTATACCTAGAATTATAATGGAAGAGATACTGAGTGATATACCTTTATGTATAATGTTTGAGGATTAGAATTGCTTCCCCACATTACTACCCTTTATTCCATGCAGAATTGATTTAGTGATATTTCTTACGTACACAGTGTCAAAAACCTGCCCTGAGAATTGTTCTCGTCTGAATCTTTCATATTTTGGTGTTTCACATGAGAAAAGATTAATTGTTCTTTGATTATAGTAGTGAAGTTCATAAATTCCTGGGGAAATTTGAAAGGTGAAATTCACTTAGTCCAGACAAAAATTTGTTTGATTTTTAGCGTCATCATCGGAACAGCTGGAACGTGTAAATGAATTTTTAAAATAAAATTGGGAGTCAAGAGTGTGTTTCCTTTTCCCAACTTACTTTGAAAACGTTGTGTTTTTTTATTGTGTGTGTGTTGTTGTTTTTTTAACATAAATCTGTCGCCGAGATTTTAGCACACAAATATGACAGAACTACTACTCTCGTTGAAGCCTGACTGTCTGTCATATTTAACATTCAACATCATATGCATCCTTTAATGTAAAAATTCACTCAACTTAATCACTGCACTTTCAAATTTCAGTCTGAGGGGAAAGTGTGCCTCTTGTGCAGCTCATTAAAAATCTGGGCAATATGGAGTTTATACTTTTATGACAGGGTCAAAAAGAAAGAAAACCTTCTACTCTCGAAAAGCTGTTAGACTTTAGTGCTGATAGGCTCAAAGAAGTTGAAAATTAATTTTTAGTCAAAGTGGTTTTTGTTTGTGTCAATTAAAATAATATGTGTGTCTGGCTCTTGTTTTCTTTTTATTTGTTTCTTGCTGTAATTTTGTTGTTTTGTTTCCTGATGTGACAATTTCCTGTTCTCTGTTGCAGGCATCTCTCAGATGAGGGCATTGCTCAGTGTACAGGGGGCAACGACAAGAGTAATGCAGATGCCATCATCAAGAAAGCACTGGATGTACGACGCCTTTTGAATTAAAATTTGTTTTTTGTTCATTGTTAAGTGAAAAATGCATATTTTGCACATATAAAATGAGGGAATATTTTTCTTTCATTTTTTCTTACAATTGTGGTTTCATGATAATTCTTTCTTTATGGTTTTTGATTGTCTTTTTCAGTATACCTTTTATTGTGGTTGTTCAAGAGTGGGGGGGTTATAATTTAATTAATTTGTCTTTTATGTGCTCTGTTTTTAGATAGGTGGTCAAAACCTGGTTGATCGAGATACATACATAAGAATATCGCCTAGGGATTTTCCCACATTTCTCATACCCAAGAACCTGTGGTGGGAAAGGATGGATATAAACTGTAACAGCTTTGCAGTAGAAAATTGAAGAAGCAAACACAGCTTGTTGTGGCCACTTTTGCAAAATTAAGAATTTTAAACTAGTCAAGGTAGAAGAATAGTCTGGTAAATTTCATTAACTGTTCTGTGGGATTAATGATCTATTGTTAATTCCCGCTTGTCAAGTAAAAAATAGGATCAAGTTTTAGTTGTATGTTATTACTGTTTTGCTCATGCGTGTGATTGTTGTGAAATAATATGAATTGACCACTAATTTTGACTTCATTACAACTCCCCAGAGTGACCTGAGAGATGTGGGGGGTAAATGGCTGAATGAGGATATTAACAGAGGACGTCTGGATTATGTGAGTTGATGTAAAATTTTATTATGTTGTCATATTCAGCAGGAATATATGAAATATAAGTTGAATATAATGGCAGAGAGCAGTGAGTTTGTTTGTTTATTAATAAACATGAAGTTTGAATTCCAACTCCGGCATTTCTTAATGGTTGGTGAGTTGGTGTTTGTTTGGGTTTTTTTGTACTGGTTTCTTCAATTTTACAAGTCACATTAAAAACTGATTTTATTTGATGTTGATAACTTTTGGGTTATACACTTTAGTGTGGTGTCAACTTAAGTTTTGGGTGGGGGGTTTTTTAAAGATCATATTATATGTTTGTGTTATGCCCCGTTATAGATATACCATGAATAATAAAAGAAAAAAACAAAACTGTGTGAACTTTGCGTGAAATGTACATGTTCGATGTTCATTGAACAAGTCACAGATAAAAATATCCAGGTTTCATGTTGCTCTGTACAGGTGGAAGGGCCAGCAGTTCTGCAACTACAGAAGTTGCGAGTGGTGTCAGCTCCCAAAGATAATGAGGAATCGCAGACAGCCCCTCGATTATGTCGACTGTCTTTGACAGATGGCCACACGACGTGTTCAGCAGTTACTCTGGAAGCAGTCAAGGGACTTGGGTGAGGATTTTTCTAGAACCATTGATGAACGCCTGTGTAAGACAGTCTTTTATTGCTTCTAAATTTTGGACAAGGTTCTGTGACATTGTATTTTTTTTTTAAGCTGTAGAATTTGATGGACTGTTACAGTATAAGATGTTCTGAAGACAAAGTTTGTCTCACTCACAGAATCTTGATAAGTGGAGATTTTTCAGATTTTTTATAGTCTGACTATTGAACCCAGAATGAAACTACTATTCATGCCACTGAAATGTAACTATTATAGTGCTGACAACTCAACGACGTTGCTTTCCTCAGGGTGAACACTCCGCCAGGGAGCAAGGTGCTGCTGTCCGGGACAGTGGAAGTGGAAACCAACTTTCTCCTTCTCAACGGCAAAAACACCAGCCTGCTTGGTGGCCACGTGGAGAGTCTGGCAGATCCCTGGGAACTGAAGAAGGTAAGGTACAAAACGAATTGTCCCGTCCGTTTGTCAGAACTCTGGTTTCAGGAGTCAAAAGGTGCTGTTTACATCCAGGTTTCTGAATTTGTCCACATTTTGCACTTTATGAAAGAATGGTTTTGATATAAGATGAAATGTATTACATGTTATATGTAAATTTTAGGTCCCCACGTTTGCAGTTCCATGAGGTCTGATAAATGGAGAATTTTTGAGGGGTGGCTCTTTGGCGTCTCTGAAAAGTAAACTTTCTTGTGATATTCTTTTCACACCTTTAGATTCTAATAGATGAAACAAGAATGAGAGTGACAATTGCTAATAAAAGTCTTTTTTTTTCCCTTAAGTACATTTTTACAGACATATTCATTTTTGTGAAATTTAATAAGGGGTGGGGGGGGGGGGGGTTCTTAACAGTGTTATGATTTTGTTTAAAAAATGCAATGCTTTTCATTTTTCATGGCTCTTGATAGGTTGAACAAAATGTTTCCAGAAATGAACACTTTCCCTTATTTATTTCCTCGACAGACACTTGCTAAACAGTCTCAGATCAGGTCCAATATGAGAGGAGAGGGAGGGCCACCATTATTTGTTCCATTTGGGAAAAAGATTGCAAATGAACCGTTGCCTCCTGCAAGGAAAGGTGATTGTCTGTCATTGTTAACTTTTGATAATGAATGGTATTTTGGGGAAATAAAGTTTCTAGTTTACTTTTTTCCTTTTCTGTTACAGCAAGAGTGAAATAGTGAAAGGCTTACAATAGGGAGAACACAAATTTTGGTTATTGCTGATCTTTACTCTAAATTGTTTACCCTGTCAATTAAAATCTCACTTTTTATTCAGCGCACTCTAGAAATATAATGCCTAGAAATTTAACAATGGTCAAAGGGTCCTTATGTCCCTCTTTAACTTAAACTCTAGTGAGATGGTTCATAGAACGTCTGAGTTTATCTAGTGTATCATTCGATTATGTGAGACACTTCACTTCAGTACACTGATCCAAGTCCCCATCAGGGTATTGTGCCTTTACCGTCTACCTTCTCAACTCTGTCCTTTAAATAGATCTGCATCTTCTACTGTCTTGTAATGTCTCTAATCTTTGGCACTTTATAACTTTATTGTGTTGCAAGTGCCGCAAAAATCTTAAAATAATAAAACAAGATTAGATTAATTTTGGCATGATATACTTTAACTGCCAAACTTTTGACCTGCACCAGATAACTTCAAGTCTCTGAACAACAACAAGGAGAAGAAGATAGAGGAGGATAGCGAGTTTCAGCAGCAGCGGCAGGCCACCATTAACCAAGCCCTACAGGCCAAGTCTCACGGAGGGGGAGTCAAGACTTTTGGCGGAGGACAGAAGCAGGTGAGAATCTTAGAGAAATATTTTAGTGCTCTGCCTTACCTGTTATATGTGTGCAGGTGGCTTAATTTGTTTGTTTGTTTGAGTAAAGTTAGAAACATCGACACAATAATGGTCTTTTAGTGCAGGGAAAAAGTAAGACAGACAGACAGAACAACAGAAGGAAAGTAACGAAGTAGGACCTACCAGTGGCGTCCTCCAACCACCCACTTGGTTTGAGGGCACCATTCGATGGTCCTGCTTCTCTCTTTTTCCTCCATCGTGTCCTTCAGTCTTTCATACTTTTTTTTCTTCTGATCCTTGAACAACTATGTGACCATATCAGTATGCTTCTCATTTTTTCCAACAAACAAATGTGGGTGGTTGGCTGGTGCTCTGGTGTTGTCTGCTCTTTCTTTCCTACCAAACGCCCATCGTCCATATCTCTCCTCTTTCGTTTCTTTTCATGTTACTGTTATTGTGCTGCTTTATTGTACACCTCCCAGCAAGCAGTCTTTTTATTCTTCTTCAGCCTATCAACGATAAAGATCTGGCCCGCATCGTGGAAATGGGTTTCTCCGCAGAAGAAGGAACTTCAGCTCTAAAAGTGTCCGGGGGTAACGTCAGCGAGGCAATCAACACTCTTTTGTCGGGAGGTCATCGATATCAAAGAGGGGGCGACAGGGGAGGCGATCGAGGAGGAAGACAAGGTAGGTGTTGGACCTAGTTTACTCCCCCATGAGCCTTCTGGACTTGTGCACCAGAGCTCATGTGCTTTGAATACTCAGTATGCAAAGCCAAGACTGTGTGCCAAGACTTCTTTTCTTCTTTCCTGGATTACTGATACAAATGTTTTATTCTTTATATATGGAAAGTATAGATACACTGATTACCGTACACATTCCATGATCATATTATTTCAGGTTCCCGGGGTGGAGGTTCAGAAAACAGAGGTGAAGGTCGACGAAGAGGACGTGACAGAGAATTTGATGAAGACGGTGATGGCCCTCTGAACACACGACCAAGTGGCCCAGCGACGTTGTTCGATTTCCTTGAAACCAAAATCCCTGCCAAAGAAGGTATTGATGTGTGGAGGTTAAAAGCACACTTACATTTGTTCCTACTGCTGTCACGAAGGACATTGTTCCCGGTGAAAAATTATAAATTATTTTGATTTCAACAAATGACAACAAATTTCAGACACCTTTTTTTTTTTCTTCTTTATATAAGTGAAAAATACTTACCACATTGTTGTGGCAACAACAGAGTAAGATGCTATTGCTGTTGTATTTGCTTTGTTTTTACCATCTGTCTTTGCCAAATGGAAGTATGTGAGATTGTGTTGTGATGTATTGTGAGTGCCTCGGGTAAGCTTTTAGAACTGTCTGATCTGTAAAGAAACAATTTATTCTGTCTTTTCCTCTCATAACCTTGAGCGTGCTTCTGTGACATCAATTTTATAAAGGGGATAGCTTGGAAGGATATAAATTAAGTGAATTATTAGTAAGTTTTTCGTATCTGAGCAATTTTGTCTGAGATCTAATTTTATTGTTGATGAAAGAGCTGGCTGTAAATAATATGTACCATACAGCAGTAAGCTGACAAAACGCTTTTTAAAAAAAATTCACAGCAGTTTCGAGAAAAAGGCTTTTTGTTAGCGTAATTGTTTATAAAAGGCGTTCTTCCGAAATTTGAATTCTAATTTATACAAATTTTATTTTTTCACACAAGTAGGGTAACTGATCAGGCTTTCGATTTAGCACATTTTTTTAAAAAGCTCCAAAATTGAAAAAAAGGCATTATGTCAGCTTGCGGCAGTGTAGATAGTATCTTGTCCATTTGCATGTAAATCACATCCAGTGCTTCTCTGTGTCTTGCAGAATCTCACAGAGGAGGACGGGGTGTGGAGCGACCCGCGACCTCACTTCTGCCGCCACCTGCCTCAGCGTCAGCCGCCAACTCAACCAGGCACAATCGGGACCAGGGCTACAGCGACAAGCCAGATCGCCGTCCTCAATCCTCCCAGCCCTACTCATCGTCTACCTCATCGTACGACTCGAGGTCCACTCAGAACCGCATTAATTTTCACCACCGCGACGGCGGCGGCCCTCCCCGAGGTGGTTACCGCGACAACGCGGACCACCACGCTGGGGAAGACAGCGGCCCCGGTCACTGGAACAGGCAGCAGCAGCAACATCAGCAGCAGCAGAACCTACCTCCACGGTTTGCCCGCATGGGAAGGGGGGATGGTGGTCAAGGAGGGGGGCGGGGTGACGGGGGAGGGGGCTACAGGGGAGGAGGAGGAGGAGGAGCTCCCGGGGAGAGGGGGAATAGCTACAACAATCAAAACAAACAGTGGAAGGAGGGCAACCGATATCAGCAACAAGGTCGGGGTCAGGATTACTCTGGCCGCGACGGAGGGGGTCCGAAGAATGTACAGCAGCCGGGCGGCGGCAGATACAATAACAATCAGTTTTCAAATGACTCCAGGCCGCCCCGAGAGCCGCCGCAGCAGCAACAGGAGAACGACTTCAAAAAACAACCTCCGAACCAGGACCATAACGCAGCGAAAGACAAGGGGAACGCTCGGGCCGACGGCCAGAGAGTGCAGGGTAATAATAACGACAGCACTGGCGGGCCGAATCGCAACTCTAGTCGAGGCGACACGCGGGATGGGAAAAACTTTGAGCAAACCGGAGGAGGAGGAGGAGGGCCAGGCAGGTCTCATCAGAACAGAGGTCCGTCTCAGCGGGGGCCGTACAATCAGCAGCACGTGCCGCCTTCAGCTGGTGCGCCTGGTTACCCCCCACAGGTCGCACTGGACGCTCACCACATGCCATACGGAGGGAAACCGGGCTTTGGTGGACCGCAGGTGAATTTATGTTTTTAACTGGGCTTTTTTTTTGTTTTTTTTCATTTGAATATTTGTATTTTGTTGGAGGGTTTTTGTTTGTTGTTTTTTTTTTACAAAACATCTTTTTAGTATTTATTGACAGCGTTCTAGTCCCATAGTTATAACGCTGGACTCTGTCTCTGTCTCTCTCTGTCTCTCTCTCTCTCTCTCTCTCTCTCTCTCTCTCTCTCTCTCTCTCTCTCTCTCTCTCTCTCTCCACAAATGGGCCTTTGGGGATGTACATATTGTGTTCCTAATGTCCTTTTGTGTGCCTCACAAGCTGCTATGATACATGTTTCCTCGTGAACGGAGATGATTTGTTGGAATAACCAGACCCACAAAATATGTCATTGACGGGTACTCTGGTGTGGTTTGCTCCTTCTTTCTTATCTAACATATATAGTCCTTATCTCTCCTCTTTAATTTTTGGGGGGTTTTTTCTCTCTAATTTTTGACACTTAAATGACGCAATTGTGTTGCAAGTGCAGTAAAACGCTTTTTAAGACAAACAAAGGTTACATGGGAAATCCAGATTTCTATACTTCGCATTTCAGGTCATGTGTATATGTGAGCCACGTTTGAACCATTTTCACTCGAAGTTTTGTCTTGAAATAGGCCAACGCCGATGCAGTTATAAGTTTGCTTTCAGTCACTAAACATACAAATTCTTTCGTCTCCTGGTTATCATTAGTCAATTGAGGAGTTAAATGAACTTCCTGCCTGTGAGATGCTGTCAGCTGTACTCAGAGGTTTTATTTTTCACATTAAAAATTGTATCATTTGTTTTGATTTGGTTTGGGTTTTTTCAGTTTCCTGGAAACGGAGCCGTCCCTGTTGGCCTGGGCGACACTTGTCTAGCCCGGTATTGGGAAGATAATGAGGTGAGTTCTGAAGTCTAAAAAACATATTATTATCTGATTCTGTTCGGTAAACCGGGGCTGCTATGGGCCAAAATGGATTTGAGCTTCCGAAACCCTGTACGAAAGCTATGTAGGGAGAGGTAAAGAAAAGCTGATGTTATTGTGTGACTTTGCATGTTTCTCTCGAACCTTAAAAACGACATGCTAGCTAGAAAGAAAAGTAAACAATTTGTCTTTTAATTTTCAGCATTCAAAGAGATATTGCCTTTGTATTCTGCAGTCACATTTTCAAGTATATTTCTATCACTACATGCAAATCTTTTTCGTGAACTGTTGCATAATTTAACACATATTAGTGACAGTGATTTGGGGAGGGGGGGGGGTGTAATGTGTGGGCTTGTCATTGGAATGACAAAGTCTGTTTAGGAAGTTGTGAGCGTTCGTGACAGAACAGTTTTATGTTACCTTGATACTCTTATTTTGTTTGTTGTTGCTACGGCGCTGTCCACTTTTTCTACTTGTTTTCATAGTAAATACTGTCCTGTTCTGTGAGTGTTTGGCGGGTGCTCTGTGTGGTTTGCTGCTTCTTTCCTGTCAAACATCTATCGTCCTTATAATCGCTTTCTTTTTTGTGTTTGTTACTCTCTTTTAATACCTCTAATCTCTGGCACTCATTGGCTTTATTGTGTTGCAAGTGCCATAAAACTGACAAAAACTAATTGTGGCTGTTTTCATGCTGGCTCTCTGTAAACGACGACCTACTTTGTTTCAGTTCTACCCAGCTGTAGTGGAGGCCATTGCCCCAAATGGCAACACAGTGGTGGTCACTTTTATCGATTACGGAAACCATGAGGAAGTTTTTGTCGGAGATGTCCAACCTTTGCAGCAGTCAGGCTGGGTGAGTGGGACGGCAAGCAAAGAAACGCTGGCCAAGTTGTGTCTCAACTTTTGTGAACTCGTGCAAGGGTGGTTAGCGGGTGCTCTGATGTGCTTTGCTCCTTCTTTCCTATCAGATCAGCATCTACCGTCCTTCTCTCCTCTCCTTCCTTTTTGTGTTTGTTATTCTGTAGTAACACCTCTAATCTTCAGCACTTGTATGACCTTATTGCGTTGCAAGTGCCATAAAACACTAAATAAAACTAAGAATTTGTGTAGGTGTGGGTGCTCACTCACACAAGTGCAGAGATGTTCATGTTTGCCTAAGGTGTATGCTTCCTACTGGCCCTACATAGTGCACGCTGGAGGGTGGTTGAAGAATGCCACTGGCTGATCTTGTGGGTGGTTGGCACGTGCTATGGTGCGGTTTGTTCCTTCTTTCTTATCAAACATCTATTGTCCTTACCTTTCCTCCCTTTTTGGCACTTATATGATCTTATTGTGTTGCAAGTGCCATAAAACTCTTACTGAAACTTAAAAAGCTGATCCTATTTCTTTTCTTTTTTTTATCTCTATCGTTTCTGGCTGTATGGCTTACTCACTTCTTTTGTTGAATGACCCTTACTGTGTCCATGTGCTTCTCTTTTCTCAAACAAGCAAGCAATATAAATGCTCTTGTCGCACACACCAGCTCTCTCAAAATCAAAGCACTCTTTCATCTGTTTGAAATGTTTGCATACAGATTTTACACAACACCTCATGCACTGATTCTCACTTTCTTGCACTCTTGCATGCGCACAAATGCACTCACTGGTTCACTATCTCTCTCTCTCACACACACACACTCACACACACACACTCACACATACATTTGGTTTGTATAATCTCACAATACATCAATTGCATGTCACTTAACATAGCCGCACAAAACTGGAAATCACAGATAAGTTAGATTTTGCCATTCCTCGACTGATATCTCGTTAATTTCACATTATCGCTTGACCCACATTATGGATGTGTTGTAAACATATTTGTCAATCCGTGAAGTGTTTGTCCATACCCAACTGCATATATTTCCTCGCTGTCGAAAAAAAAGAGTTACTCCATTGTTTTGTACCCACATAGTAAAATGGGGTTAAACAGTTGACTTGTGAACACGCACACACACTCACACACACTCACACACACACACCACCCAAACTTTCACGCCTCCCTTAACCACGTGTGATAACCTTGACTTTTTGGCCTCTCCACAGAATCCCCAGCACTTCCACGCAGGACCCGCCTTTGTGCCGCCCATGGAGTTCACACGAGGCGGTGGCTACTACAGCGGTGGGGGAGGTCGACGACACGACACCGGTGAGAGACGCAAGCCCACCCAGTCCTACTACCAGCCACCCAATCAGAAGTCTCATTGACCCCGCGCGTCTGCTGTCTTTTGATTATGATGTTAGTCCTTGTTGTACATTTGTAATATATAACGCCCGGAGAATCATACAGACTGTGCACACCATCTTCTCATTTGTTTATTCTAAGACTATGATACTTAAATTTTGTAAGTGTCCGACTGTCAGGCCTGTGGTTATCGTCTGAGCCTGTATACTACGTAAATTTTGGATGAAAGTCAAGTATAACTCTCCATGTCTTCATGCATGACAACAACTACTACCAACAGTGTTCCCTGTTTCTGAAATTCCACAGAACACAGCTGGAACGCCACAGTGGATTCTTTTTGGTAACTGGAGAATTGCAGACTAGGTGACCTTGGATGTAATGCACGAGGTCAAACAATTTAAAAGGGAGGGGGCTATACTTTGCTGTTCCGATTCTGTAAGTTTCCAGCTGTCAGACCTCTAGGTGTTCAACTAAGAATCATGCACAAGGCAGGCTTCCATACTTGTTTTTGACCTTGGGTATAAAGCACAAAACGGGAATAAGGACAACATTACAAGAGAGGATCGGTTGTTGTTTGGTTTTGGGGGGAGGGGGGGTTGCTATTTGTAAAGGTAGTTGCTGGTCAAGCTAATGTTTCAAATGCAACATTGCTTTTCTTATTGGTTTCAATGCCAGGATAATGTCAGAGATAAAAAAGAACATTGTTTTTCATTTAGGGGCTTTTTGGTATACAGCGGAGTCCAGTTTTATGAGCTGGGATGAATTTGATTCTTTCTTCCGTTGAGTCATTTATACGATTCTGATTTTTTAAACTGATTTTTTCCCCCCATTGTGTTGTTTATTCGTCCAGATAATATGAATACATTGGATTTTGGGGGGTTTTCTGAACTGTGTCCGAAACCCCGTCTCCCCATTTACCTACTCATTCCATCCCAGGCTGATTTATAGAGCAGCAGTCATTAATTAATTGTCCATGAAGTTATCAGCAATAAGAGGGATGTCTAGTCTTTCTCTGTATCTTCTTTATGGACACACTTATAGTGAACCTGGGTAACTTTGAACGAAAAGATTAATTGTTCCTAGCAAGTTCAGGTGAAACTGACTCCACTGTACACACAAAAGACTCTTGACTCAAGCCATGTGTACAAAAGGGGCAGATGAGTTTCTTCTGATTTCTTATTGTACATAGTAGAATCAGAGAAATCCTGAAGAGGAAAACGCTCTGCAACTGATCTTAGTGTTTTATTGATATATGGATAAGGGGTATGACTTCAACACTACCGTATAAATATATATAAAGGATGATTGCATATGTACATATATATTTGTATGTAGTTTGCATGGTATTCTAGAACATCGCTGCCCGTATGTATGAATGGTGTTGGTCTCTTCCTCAAGTGTTCTTTTATCGTAGGTACTTAACCATTTAGTGTTACATACCTGTAGCTAAGAGTTGTGTGCATATGTTTATGTGGGCCCTACTGAATGACCAGTGATGGTTCCATTTTGAAGTTTCATGTCCATCGTTAGCAGTTCTTAAATTGACAGAAGTATGTTTGCTTTGCTGTTATTGTTAGCTTGAATTTTTCTTTTTTTTTTTTCTTTTTTTTGAACGAAGTGGTGATGTGCCAACCCCCACAAATTAATTTTTAAAAAGAAAATCTAAGATATTGGTAGTATATTGCGTGACATTCAAGAGAATATGTTGTTTTGATGCGCAAAGTGAAGAAAAATTGTTTTCCTTGACTTGAAATACTTTCTCCTTCTACTGTTTTCCTTTTTGCTTTTTGCCTGCTCTTCTAGACCTGTAAGGTAGTCTGATGGAATTTTTTTCATGGAAGTGGTGTCCACTTTATTTTGTCCCTCATGATGTGGTTTTGTTATCTGGCAATATACTGGGAACTGTAGCCCTGTTTATATACTGGCAGTTATTTTGTTGAATAATAAGTTAAAAATACCTTTTGCAATTATTGTTTGGCGGAGCATTTCAGAGGAAAGGCATTGCCTGTTGTCGTTTTACGTGTCTCTGGTTTTTTGTGTCACTTCTTTCTTTATATATAAGCAAATTTTTTTTTCTGTTATTGTTTTCTTAGATTTATGTATATCGCCTGGAGCTGTGTGTACAAAGGAGTATGTGGTATAAAAATGCACTTCATTATTATTATTATTAATATTATTATTATTTTAACGGTAAGCACTTGAACTTAGATTCTCTGTACATGTCAGGGATGCCAAATCTCCGTTTTTTCCTGCTTTTTCCGGGTTTTTCATAGTGCTCCTGCTTGAAATGGGAGAGGTAAGAAAGATGGGGGTTTTTTGCTCATTTAAAAATTTTGCAAGGTTCGTTTCCGGTGAGGTGTGATGCTCCGCTCATTTGGGGGGGGGGGGGGGTCAAAAATCATTTGGCATCCCTGACATGTACAGCTGATCATCTAAAATGGCCTCGGCCAGTGATAATAATTATAAATGCATTTTTACATAGCCCATATCCACACTCTGCAGCATGCTGTATGGGCGTAACAACTAGACCAGTGTCTGGACTGCTCACAAGCAGGGCCTTTAGTCTGTGATGTTCCTCCCCTCATGTTACTGTTACACCAAGTTTGCTTTGTTGTTGAGATGAATTAGTCAGGCTGTGGGTGGTTGGCAGGTGCTCTGGTTTGGTTTGTTCCTTCTTTCCTATCAAATGTCTTATCGTCCTTATCCCTCCCCTCCTCCTGTTATTGTGTTTGTTACTCTCTCATAACACCTCCAACCTTCAACACATGCATTACCTAATTATGTTGCAAGTGCTGTAAAATGGTCGCTTAAACAAGATAGGTTGTCTAAAGCGACTTTAGTTTCTGTGTGCAATATTTTCTTTCTTTGTCATTGTGCTTGTGAATAAATTATGTTCATGCAGAGATATGTATATGTATTTCTTACGCTGAGATTCTGTCAATTTCAAAATTACAAGAATGGCTTTTTTGAACAAATAGTTTCTTTTTTGCGTTGAGTTTTTGTTGCTGTAGTTGTTGTTGTTTTTTAAGAAATAAGAACTGGTTCAGTTAGTAGTTAGAGTATCATTATCTGATACGGCAGAGAGTAAGCTGCTTTATATACTCTTTAAACCCCATCAGACGCAGGGAGCGTCCGGCGGTGATAACCCTGTTCCCCATTGGACACTGGAAGCGCCCGATACCTGTGACAACTGTTTCATTAATTTCTTTTAGTGCTAGTTTTTCGGAACTCTTCCCGATCCAAGTTTTCTTAGTAATGACTAAGCCTTTGTTTCCGCCGTTTAGAAGTTGTAGGTATGCTTTTGGGGTTATAATGAGACGTAGTGCTTCAGGTGTAGGTGACTGTAGAAAACAACTCTGGGAAACGGTGGAAAAAACTCAGGGTTTAAAGTAAGGATTAATGTCATGGTAAAAGTTTTTTAATTGTTGCCCTTTTTCTGTTTATCCGTGGAGGGGGGAGAGAGGGGGGGGGAGGGGACGAAAAGGGAGATTTTAAGGTACTCACTTGTGACAATGGATAATAGAGGGGTAAACATCACTTTGTTGTTTGAGGTGTATCCAAAGAGAATGTTTGTTTAGTTATTCAGAATCAATATAAAAGGAATATGGAGCCCTGTGTTCGTTATAACATTACTTTGTTTATCCTTTTATCCTGTACTTTGAACCAAAAAAAAAACAACTACCAAGCTTGCAAGAAAATTTTGTCATTGTTGGTTTGACTTTGACTTTATTTATCCTTTCAGGGAATTTGTTTGCCAATGACATGTCTGTAAGGGAGTTTTTGATTCACACCGTACATATGAAGGGTCCAGCAAATCAACAGGTTCATCTAAAAAAAAAAGATAAGCTATTTTGCTGTTTGCCACAATTTAATACCTTTTTTTAGCAAGCAGTGCTGATAATTTTCCGCGGTTGTTGTTTCCAAAATATTACTACAAAAAAGGTATGAGTTGTATTATTGTAGTTAATATTAGAGTTCTGTTTTGAAATTTTGGAATTGCAACGGAGTCGGAATATTTTCCTCTTTTTTGACTTTTTCTCATTATCAGCACTGAGCAAGATTTAATGTCTCTCTCAAGGATACACCTTAGTGACCAGTCACTTTACATTGCTTGACTTTTTAGAGTGAGAGAGTTCACTCACCACTCGACCCTTGATATTAAATATTGAGTGCTGTCTGCTGTAAAAACTATTTTGTCTCTGCTCCTTGTTGTTCTGATAGTCCTTATCCCAAAGGATTTGTGAAAAAAAAGTTGACTGTGGCATGTCTCACCTTTCTAGATACGACAGTACAAGTTTCAACAAAACTTTGAAAATGGCGTATGCGTGAAACTGTCCTTATAATATATATATGTTATATTATTTTCATAAGTGAATTTTTACAAGACAGTACATTTTTCATTAGATACATTTATTGTATTTGACAATGTAGAAGCTTGTCGGTGTACAGTGACTCCAATCCAAAGAGGTTATATTTTGTACTAGAGTTGGTGGCAGTGATGTCCCCCACGTAAATGAACAGGGGCTGCGTGTGCCTATTCTCAGACGCTGAACCTCAAGGGCAAGACATGCGCAATTTATCAACAGACGAGTGAGTACTTTTCGAGACTCACATGGAGGCGCCTCGGCGGTCTTCAGAGGAAATCTACAAACTTGCACTGAAATATAGGGGCATGGGGGTGTTTAGAATACCAGAGCTCTTGGGGAGCGGGATGGGGGCTAAGATTGTTCATGTAGAACTAAATGGGGGCATGCCGATGAGGGTAAGAAGGCCTCCATTGTGTGACCACTGACATATATGACGTCACTGCTGCTCACTCTAGTATTGATATATATAAAACCTCTTTGCTCATATCGTTAATCCTTACGCCATGCACAGTGTGTGCTGTATGTTTACTTTGTTCTGGTGTTGATGATGTTTCTCAGCATTGCTCTGTTTAGTGTTGATGACAACAACAACATTTTGTGTGTGTGAAAAGATGTCTGTAGTGTATGTGAATGACTTTTGCCAAAATTTGAAGTACTTGTGAATACTCACCATACGTGCCTTTGATAGCTGCAATGTGCAAAGTGAAGACAAACTTCTGTTGAGTCCAACAAATGGTGTTGCTGGTGATAGTGGTAGGGGTATGTCTTTCCCGTTTTCACAGATGGTTGGAGGGTGCCACTGGCCCTGTTTCTTTGTTGTCCATCTGTTGTCTAGTTTTTGTTTCCTAAGTGACCATCATCATTATCATCATCATCACCGCGGGTGTTTAAAGAATGCCACTGATAAGTGTTTCTTTTTGACAATTGCCCTACTGTTTCTGTCTTGTTGTTGTGCTTTCTCCTACCACTAAATGATGGATATGTTTATTGTACTGCTCCTTTAAGTGTAAGATAAACAAACTACCTCTTTCTTGTCCTTCTGTTTTTTGTTGGGGTTTTTTGTGTGTCATCTTACTTTTCCCTTGCACCGTATTCCTTTGCTGCCTCAGTGTACTAAATTGTTGTTGTTGTTGTCTTCAACCCAGCAGCCTTTGAGACTTTGCCCTTTAAATGTGAAAGGAAAAGGTGTTGTTCTAGTCAGAGGTGAGAGAGAGAAAGAGAGAGAGGGAAAAAATATTATTACTTTTCGCGAACTCCAACAAATGCCCAAGAGACAATCTGAGCAGTCATTCATTTTAATTCTTGCTTTCCTGTCCAGACTTTGACATAACCATTATGCACAACAACAATACGACAAGGAATTTACCTCTGTTCCGTTGCTGTCCTGTTTCCTGTTAAATTCATTCAATGTGTCCCAGGCCACTATTAAGAGTTCTCCATTGAATTTGCAGCACTACAGTGTATATTGTAAGATTCTCACGTCCAACTGCAACTTGTGTTGAGGTCAAGGATGGATCATCAGAGACACAGAAGTTTGTATTCAATTTGTTCTTCTGTTTCTTGCGTGGGAATGTGTATGCATTAGAAGTGTGTGGTGGTATGCAATTCAAGTGGTTGTGCTGCACATGCATGTGAGTGTGTGTGTGTGTGTGTGAAGTGTGTGTTTAGTCATACAACACATCAAAATGTGTTTAATTAAACGTGAAATGTGTGTGTTGTGTATGTGTTGATGGCTGTGCATGTACCTCATTGGGATATGTGTATTTGACAATGACAATGACAATCTTTATTCATCTCGCAGAGAGAAATTTGTCTTGGTCGTTGTTAACAATGGCAGTAGACGTTTCAAAGGTTAGGTGCACTCACGCATACATACAACAAAACAGGACATTAGTAAAAACATCTTGTCTCACGTGTTGAAAGCACGCATTCATGCAGCTCATGTGCGTTAGTGTACAATAAACATCTATAGGACTGATGTGCATTGGGGGCTCTTTTTGGTGTAACTAGAAGTGAATGTTTCAGAGTTTGACACAGATAAAGAGGCATGTTTTGTATTCCTAAATCAGATCGGGAGATGAGTCAATCACAACGTTTCTTTTCCTCTCTTTTTTTGTCGCAAGAAAGGTCTTTTGTCAGGGCTGTTCCACGGGTCAATTTTTTAAACATGTGGAAATAACAGAAAAAGAGAACGTCTGAATCAGAATCACAACTTGGGCATTGTCATTTGTTGGATTCATAACTAGAAAGGAAATTGTGAACCTATATGTGAGGCATCATGGTGAAATCAGGCGCTAGTCAAAATAATTTAGATCGAAGAAACTGACATTTTTCCTCCAGTTTGGCTATTTTCATGGAATTTTTCTTTTTTTGGCTCATCACATTGTATGTCCGTATAAAAACACATTTTTGAGTGAATCTTACTGAAAAATGTTGATTAATGGCTCAAAATATGCGAATTGTCAGTTTTCAAGGACTCTCAAGTTATAGAAGTTACCAAACTTTGTCAGCCATTTCTTCTCTAATTTACCTCTGAAACCATGCTACTCAGCTTTCTTCAATAGCAAATACCTCGACTTCTATTCAGGATAGATGGGCAATTTTTTCATAGAAAGCAAGGCAAATGAATAAGCTTTCAGTTGATACCAATAACTCCACGTGCCCCAAAATTGACGAGCGCTTGATTCCACTGTGTCGTGACACTTATTATTACAAGATGCCCCCCTACTGTCTTTATTTGAACACAGGCTTTTCTTGAAAACCTCAGAAACTGATTTGGGCGATTGTGAAATGGTGCTGATGATATTTACTGAATGTGAACCAGTTGTGTTTGTTTGAGGTGTATTTTCTGCAAGGACTCTCAATCCAGACAGCAGAGATGCTTTTGTTTTTGTCATGTTATTCTGTTTTTGCTTGTTTTGGATTTTTTTGCTAAATGAATGTGCGCTAATCTCAGATCAAACAGTGTTGTATATAGATGCTCTTTTGTTCTGTTTTGTTTTGGCTTTGTTTATTATTTGTTGTGTTATTCTCATACTTCGACGTGATTCTGTACTAGTCAGTGAGAAAGAGATGTGACCTACGTTCAATGGCAACATTATTAGTAGTACTGTGCACATATCATATGTGAGGCAGCGTGATGGAATCAGGCTCTCGTCAAAATAATCAAAATGAAGAAACTTGCATTTTTCCGCAGGTTTGTGAATTTTTATTAAATTTTTGTTTTTTGGCTCAACACCTTTCATGCCCATTAAAGAACTCATTTCTGTGTGGATTTTTCTAAAAAACGTTGATTAAAGACACAGAAAATGTAAATTTTTAGTTACCACGGACTCAAGCTAAGGAACGTCCATTTTCTCACTAATTTTACCTCTGAAAACAGGTGATCCCCACCTCCTTCTTTCAAAAATATCTCAACTTGTATTCAAGATAAATGGATACTTTTTTCATCCAAATAAAGACAAGCGAACAAGCTTTAAGATGATACTAATAACTCTTCATGCCCAAAAATTGACGAGAGCCTGATTCCACCACGCTGCCTCACATATATATGCTGAAAGGTTTTCTCACCTCACCATTAAGGACTTTCTTAACCAAAGTGATAACAAAA